AATTTTTCTTCGGTCTAACTGGAAGGCATTCGCTAACTCATTTGGGTAAAGCAAGTGTGAAGAAGCAGGAGCTGTTTTACAGGTTATTATATTTACAATAGCATCCAGGGGTGCCCTGGAGCTGCAGGCATGGTAGGAAACCTTGGTAAGAGGTGGCCATGAAGATTTAACCCACCACAGCTGTGGAAAAGGAAATTTCACCCCAGATTTTCTGCATTGGGCATAAAAACATTGCTGTCTCCAAGGCAGGGCTGCTGGGGGAAAGGCCAAGGGGCCACCATGGTTGGATGGGATTGTGCAACATGGAGGTGGTGGGGACCCACACTGTTGTGAGAAGTCTCAATGTCCCTGGCCAGAGAGGAGGCTGGCTGTACTGATCAGACACGGCACTTTTCCTGGGTAAGGTCCTGGTGTGGCAATGTCAGCCTGGATTGGTTCAAAGCACCCTTCCTGGTGGGCATCTCCAGGTCCCCTTCTCCTTTTGTGTCTCCAGAAAGTCCTTCCGCTTGGGTTCCTGCTGTAACCATGGGGCTCTGAGGAACTGGAGTGAGAGCAGAGCTCGGCAAGGGCTGAGTGTCAGCTCTTAGAGGTGGTAGCTGCTGTGATGGATGGGCAGACAGATGTTGGTTGGGAGTGATTTGGGTAGAGCTAGTTCTCCTTAGGAGGTAGGATGGACCCAGTGTCTTCTTGAGAGCCTGGTGAGGATGAGGAGTGAGGTGGTCCTGGTGCTTCCTCACCACTGAAGGTGGGAGGTAACATCTGGAAAGATAAAACATCTGGAAAGGGCAGTGGCTGGCAGGTTGCTTAAAACTCCTGCTTTGGTTTTCCACCTGTCTGGAGCCTCTCCACACCACCATGGGGCAGAGGAAGCCGCTTTCACCCCTCTGACGTGGCTCAGGGGTCTCTTCCAAGCCCAGCTGTGCTCAGAGGTGACTTCTCTTTCCTTCTAAATGACGGGCTTGGGAGTGAAATGCTGGTAAAGGTGAGCCAGTGAGCTTCCCTCAGCCCCCTGTGTTCATGGACTGCCAGGCTCAGAATCCCTGTTTCTCTTGTTGGAAATCATCCGTAAACCCAATTTTAGTTTGCGTTCCTGTGGGAGGGAGGTGGATATGGGATTTAAGGAGGAGAAATGTCCTGGGGAAGTTTTTAATCATGCATTCCTCCAAACCTGGAAGGAGAAAAAAAGACCCTCGAGCTCTGCACTGGAGCCTGACAGCATTATTCCTTCCCTGGCTGTGCTCAAAACTTGATTTCACAGTTCACCTGAGGAATGACCCGGGTAAAACCTGACTGGGAACTGGTGCTGGCCAGAAGACACAAAAGCGAGAGCCGTTGTTTTCGAAAAAAATGGCCCTTTTTGGCAAACAAAGCTGTACTGTCAGGGATCTGTTGGCACTTCTGCAATCTCCTTAATAACATATTTGTAACACTCGTCCGTATGCTGTTTATCAGATCTTGGGTTTACAGTAAACATAAGCCTAATAACCATTTTTTTCAGAATATTTTCTTGGATGGTTCCCAGTTAAAAGGGAATTAAAAAAAAAAAAAGTAAAAAGGTCTGTTTTCAGAGCCTGGCCCTGTGGTGTAGCTTTGATCTCACATCCCAAGAAGGCAGCTGAAGCCCCCCCCTGCTTTTGGGTTGCTGTCACTGAGCGGGAATGCCGGCTCAGCATCCCAGTGGGCTCGGGACATGGCCCTAAGCAGGTGCCTGCTTGATGTGGAAACCACTGCCTGGGAGCCAGGAGGTCCCCAAGAGCAGAGAAAAGCCGTGATACTCTGCTGGTGAAGACCAACGATGGAGATGCCACAGGGCTGAGCTGTCCTGGAGGGCATTGCCACGTCTCTGCCCACACTGTGGCTCTCACCAGGCTAAGGACACTGGCTCACTTGCCTTCCCTGCTCGTTGTTGCATTGGCTTTTCTTTTTTTTGAAGGATCAAACTTTCCGGTGACTTCATCCTGCCCTCAGAAAGTCAAAGTAAATGTGCAAATGTCACTGTGGAATTTACCCAGCAAGGGAAAGGTAACCTGGATTTCTCCTTGACCGGTTGAACAAGGCCAGGGAGGACTGCATGGAGGGGATGTAGTCGCTGCCTTTCGCTTGTCTGGAGCTGAGACCTTCCAGCACATCCCTCCCGTGACGGTGTCCCATAAAAAAAGACACAGCCTATAAAGATCTCAAAGTCACTGAAAGGCAGGTTATTCTTGAATTAGCAAAACAAAAAGTCTTCCCTTGACTAATAAAACTCAGAGGCACTGTGGGTTGAGTGTGGCTTCAGATGGGTCTTCTCCACCCCTTCTCATTGCTCCATAGCTCAACCAAGCCTCCAGATGCCCAGCAGGCACATGGACTAATCCCTGGGCATTGTGAACCCATGAACTATCTATGGTGGTGTTGTGTGGAAAGTGCCTTTAGTGGGCAAAGGGGTCATAAGCCTTTGACTCCTGCTCAGTGCGTTGGAGAGAGACGTGTCCGAATATCACATGCTGGATGCGTGACCAGACCCGGACACTTCTCTCTGCTGCTGGAGGTTTTGTTACTAACGACTGATAAACATTGAAGTGCTTTGATTGTAGTGGGTCCCCAGGCTGCACTGTGTGATTTTCATTTGCTCCTCAGCCTTTAGCCCTCAACCAGTGTGTGACGTGGAGATGTCTCTGTTGGGGACAAAGGTGCAAGTTGCAGGAAGGGCATTAGCAGTGACTACAAAATGCTTACCCAATGCTCATCGCTTCATATTGCTGGTGGTCCAGCAGGGCAAGTCCCTGGGGGACCCTCCTTGGTGGGGCAACATGCAAGGGGATGGAGAATGTTACACCACTGGGCGCGTCCTCCTCTGCCTTGTAGCTGCCTTGTCCCCTTTCCATGATAGGGCACACCTGGTGTGTCTCAGACCTGG